TTGACGTTTTATTAGGTTATCTGTATTCTAACAGACTTCTGTCTTGGATCTCAACTTCTCATCTGCCTCAATCACTGTTACGTCTTAATGATGCATATTCTGACTACCCAGTGATTTCCTTATTGATAGATTCTGGAGATAGGAGCACAAGGTCACATCTGTCTATTAAACAGAAACTAGCCTGTGAAGGAGAGAAGTATCTACAGGAATTACTGCCAGTTGATTTGCCACTGAAAGAGTCTGTGTGTGCTTTGGGGTGAGGGTCTGCTTGTTGCAATATTCTTATTTCTTCCAGGATAGGGAGAAATCTCCAATCCCAAAAGCAATCCACAGCACCTGGAAATATCTCTTGTATTGGTGCATCACTTCACCAGGTTTAGTTTGCAAAGGTTAATGGCTGTTCTAGGTCAGGGCATACACCTGCTCGTTCTTGCTAATGGTTCTGTGAATGCCTTGCTTGTTTGGCTTCTGTAGTAACCTCTACCAACAAATCAGTCCTGTTCATTAACCAAGGATGTGACTCCAAGCAAACACTTCGGTCATGTGTATTTTTAATAATGATGTTTGTAGAGTTATATGCAAATACCAACTCGGGCTTGTGTCAATATCTTTGGGGCAGAACATGGCAGGAGACCTCAACTCCCACTGAAATCAATGGATTTAACCATGTTGGACTCAGTGACCACCGTTACCATGACGAAAATTCCTAGTTTAACATACAGGGTAGAAACAGCTCGTTTTATCTGCTCCATGTCTTGACTAGCTCTGAAACTTTGAGGATGGCATTTGTGCTGCCTGAGCTAGAAATAAGCAGTCTGGGACTTGAGTTTTTTTCTGGTCATGCATAGAGTCAGTAGGGCTCGGTAGGATTTCAGGGCTCTAGTCTCACTGCAGAATCAGGGCTTAAGAACAAGCACAAATGAAACTACTGTCTCAGGGAAAATCAGATGAGGGTGTTAGATAGATTTATTTTCTATTTTTTCTTCCCTAAGACAGTTTGAGAAAGAAAGATTGACAGTGGTTAATGGGGGCTGTGGAGTAAGCGAAGGTTTAGGGTGAATATTAATAAACAGCATGAAATTGGATTTCTTTTGTCTTCCCCACTTTGTGGAAAATAGTGGTTCCTCCACAGAAGAATAATTTGAATCTGTATTGACCTTGCTGCATAAGAAGTTTAAAGAGAAACTTACTATGAATTCATTAAAAATTCACTCTTTCTGTTACTTTTCCCAATTGCCTTTATTGTGGAAATTAAATAGGATGGAAAAGGTTAGTAAAATGGAAGACACTATCATGGGCTTTCTGCACCATTAACTAATGGCTCGTATGAGTCTACAGGATGGCTCCAGAGAGTACCTTAATGGAAAGGTAAAACAAAAAAAACCCAAAATTATGGTACCTTATCCTTTTGCTGTATCTCTGCATGCGGCGATTTTTCTGTGCACTTTTCCAAACTATAATGTAAGATGTGTCACAACTCCAATTGTATAATTTTATAGTATAACTGTTAGATATTCCAGAAGGACGGATTATATTGATTGTCTGCTGACTATTTGAATTGCAGTCCCAGATAAAGTTACTTCTTGTTTACAGATTCCAGTTCTTTGAGGCTTGGTCTCATATAAAGGGAGCCAAAATTCTTGAGTATTGCAAAAGCTTAACGCAGGCTGCAGATTTCCGTTGTTGGTCAGACAGTTATTGTTCAGCCCAGTGCTTGCATTTGCGTGGGTGTGGAAAAGTAGCCCACCTTAGGTTATTTTAATGTTGGTAATAACTGGAAATTTTGCTAAAACATTGAAAGTTATGAAAGTAATGTGAGTGCAACTATTGTATTGTGTTAAATAGAGCCGTTATGCAACTGGAGACACTAGAAACCCATGATAGTACTAGTATGCTTGAATTACAAGAACAGGGCTGGATCCTGTAAGTGGGAAGAACCTGAGCTTTACTCCAGAATTCCTGAGTTGAAGACACCTCTGCTGAGCTACAGCGGCTCCTTTGATAGACCTTCCGTGGAGCTCAGAGATGTGGGCATCCTCCTGTTTTTCCAACACAGGTCTGCCCCGAGGCGCCTCCAGGCCGTACGCTGCGCTGCTTCGGGTGCTGAGCCACGCTGGTCACACAGGCACTGTTGTGCGACCTCAAACCATTCCTGTGGCCTTAATTACAGACTGTGTTGTGGATGTTTAGTGATCCTGATGGTAGCCACAAGGCACCCTTAAAAGATGGCATAGACCTGCCCAGTAAATGTCTTCCAGCGTAGGAATGGTGCCGTTACTTGCCCTGTCCCTGCTTCCCCTCCTGCTGTTCCCCAGGAGGGCCGTTTGCATTCCAGCGGTGGGAGGAGCGACGCAGGACATGTCATTTCAGGTATTTAGGATCCTCCAGAATGAAAAGCCAGCCAGAAGTACAAGCATTCATTATTGTGATTCGATATTGCTACGTTATCACCATTGCAAAGTGCAAATGCAGAGCACTTCTGAAGATCAGGCTTCCCATAGTGGGGGTCTGGAGTTGGAAACCTGATTCCTAACATGTATCTCCTGTGCTCTGGCTTCCCCATCACTGAAATGGCAATGGCAGCTGTAACGTTAAATACTTCGAGACCTCTGTGTTACTGGTGTCAGGCAGTATTCCTAGTGAGCGAAAGATCGCATCCAAATGTCGTTCTCCCTTTGCTTTCAGGCTGTAGCAAAGCTGATGTCAGTGGATTGCCGTTGTCACGGTGTTTCTGGGTCCTGTGCTGTGAAAACTTGTTGGAAAACAATGTCCTCCTTTGAAAAGATTGGCCGGTTTTTAAAGGATAAGTATGAAAACAGCATACAGATATCAGATAGACTGAAAAAAAAGCTACGCAGGAAAGAGAAAAGCCAGCGAAAAATACCGATTGGGAAAGAAGACCTGCTGTATGTGAACAAATCGCCCAATTACTGTGTCGAAGACCAAAAACTGGGGATCCCTGGGACTCAGGGAAGGGAATGTAACCGCACCTCGGAGGGGCCCGACGGCTGCAACCTGCTCTGCTGTGGGCGCGGGTACAACACCCACGTCGTCAGGCACGTGGAAAGGTGTGAATGCAAGTTTGTCTGGTGCTGCTACGTGCGCTGCCGGAGGTGCGAGACCATGACCGACGTACACACCTGCAAATAAGATGAAGTACAGAAAACACGGCCAAACCATCCCACACTGTTTGGTACACACAACAAAGCAGTAAATACTCTTACCATGTGGGATTGCAGGGGGATCAGCCTCAGGGGGAATGGGTATTGCCAAACAACGGGTAGTCCAAGCATTTGGCGTATGAAAGAGCAACTGAGCGAACAGCAGCCTGCACACAGGGACAGCTAAAACAACAAAAAAGGATTCCCGATGACACATTTGAACATGTAACTCCATGAGCAGGGACAGACACTAAGCTTTCCAAGGCTTTAATAGCCACAACGCCCTGAAGATCCATGTGGTCAGTAGGTACAGTAGAGAAAACTCAAGATCTCGTTAGCCAGAGATTGAAGAGTTAAGAGGGCGTGTAAGACACATTAGATATAAACCTTATGTCTGGATTTTTAAAACTGGGACTAGATGGTTGATTTCTGCAGGCTTTAGGAAAAAAAACAAAGATGGGGGAATGTTCTGCTACTGACCATGAAACATTTGCTTTGCAACCGTTTGGAAAGCTGTCTTCTGCATAATATGCAGAAAAGTGTCTGGTACTGAGAAATACGCGTGACTGCAGAGAGCCTGGGTGGAAGAGAATGGTCCATTGGCATGGAGCAAGCTGTGTCCAGAGTAGAGGGGCTGGAGCACAGCTTGATGAATGTGAACAGTGTACCAGATAGCAAGCCCGGGATTTTTTACAGGTTGTCTTTCAAACACACAAAGGACAGGTCTGAGGAGGGACAGAAATACAGTTTGGTATTTGAAGGAAATAAAATCCTTCACAGGCATTTCCTCAGTATCTGAATACACAATCTGCGAGTCAGCCGGTCGTCACCCCACTGTTAGACTGTATGCAATAACCTGCCATGTTCAACCATCTTGCTAGTGGTTCACCGTCATTTTCACAATTAACCATACGAGATTCAGCCCAAAGAAATCTGCCATAAAGCAAAAGATTTTTTAAAACATTGCTTTCTCTTATAGAAGCAGCAGCTAGAACTTTTCATTAGGTTGCATCCTAAGTAAGTTCAGTGCACAATGTAATTTATGTACTGGCTCACACCACTAAAATATTTAAACTGTTATTGATAACATTTTCTCCCTCTCCATGTGGTGGCTCAATTTTATTTTACATCTGTGAAAGGTTGTTTATTTTTATGCAATGATTTAATGCCTGGCTTAAAAAGCATCATGTGAAAGGATCTCTGTTGTTTAAATGTGCAAAGACCTATTTTTGATAAGACAAGAAAGTTTATATTTTGTAAATATTTAAATTATGCAAGTTGTGTAAAAGGTTTCCAAAACTAATGTGATAAGATAGTTGACAGCCTTTGACATTTGTTGGTTAGATATTTGTTACTATTGTCGTAGCCTTTAATTGATTTTTATTTGCATGTGCAGGGGGAAATTAGTCAGAGAATTACATAAATGTTCTTTTTTTTTACCATCAGGGTGGTTATAATTATTGCAGTTAATACACACTGATGAGAAACACTTACTATGATTTTCTAAATGATCAGTTAATTAATATTCTATATCCTTTTTTATTCTTTTAAATCCATTTTTACAAACAGTGAAATCCTGGCTCCAGCGGTAAGTGCAGAACTCCCACTGACATCAAGGGGACTTGAAAGGGTTTGCAATCCCTTAACTTGTTCCACACCAACAGTCAGTTTTTAGAAAGAAATCATCCTAGACAGTTTGGTTGAGGCTTTCAAAGTTACTTGGAGGAATTCATTTCCTAGTTGTCAGTTGTTTTCCCATGAAAGATGGTGACCAGGTTCCCTGTCAGTCTTTATTGGATGTGTAGGTCAGGAAGAAGCAAACAAAATCTGTGTTGTGGTACTTCACTGCTTTATGTGGAGTATCTTAGGAACATCAGTTCAGCATCCAAGAAGTCCTTTATCTGCTGGTTCTTTTTGTACCTTCCCTCCACATTTGGCCAGTCTGTCTCCATTGACCTAGCCAAATAATTATCCTGAGGCCACAAAATCTGCTGTCTATGGGAAGGGTGCTCAGCATGCCAGTCACTGTCACAGCAGGATTCAATACCCTCCCTGTGAAAACTTGGATGGGGAGGACACGTCCTGGTGGAAGACCCTGAGGAGAGAGTTGTGAGCCCAAGGTTGTTCCCGTCTTCCAGCAATGAAAGTAAACCCACAGGCTCCACAGGCAGTGTCACAGCACCTATTGGCAGCATGGATGGGACATGCTACTGGTCACTGTTGATATGAAGGTGTTGTAGACAGCACTTCTCTCTCTTTCTGAATCTGCCCTGCGTCAAGCTGCTGGCAGAGGTAAGTGCCTCGGTGCCCTACGTGAGACTGGTCCTAGCAGAACCTCCACTGAGTTCAGTGTTGAGGTCACCACCATTTTGCTGTATGGGGCTTCAGCAGTAACCAGCTGCTGGGAGGTCAGTGTGGAGACCTTATTCTTACAGAATCATAGAATTGTTCAGGTTGGAAAAGACCCTTAAGATCATCGAGCCCAACCGTTAACCTAGCACTGCCAAGTCCGCCACTAACCCATGTCCTCTAGCACCACATCTACCCATCTTTTAAATACCTCCAGGGATGGGGACTCAACCACTTCCCTGGGCAGCCTCTTCCACTACCTGACAACCCTTTCGGTGAAGAAATTTTTCCTAATATCCAATCTAAACCTCCCCTGGTGCAACTTGAGGCTGTTCCCTCTTGTCCTGTCACTTGTTACTTGTCAGAAGAGACTGACCCCCCACCTTACTACCACCTCCTTTCAGGCAGTTGTAGAGAGCAATAAGGTCTCTCCTGAGCCTCCTTTTCTCCAGGCTAAACAACCCCAGTGCCTTCACCCTTCAATCTGTGTCTCAAAACTACCTTAGCTTTTACCGGACCTAAAGGTTCTTCCGTGCCTGATCCGTAAAGTAAGAAAAATCGCCACTGTACTTCTCAGAATGCCTTAATTTCTGGCAGAGTAGGAAATGGGGAGAAAATGGTCCTGGACTCCTGGGCCTAAGGTCAGCTTCAGGGATTTGCCCAGGAGAAAAACCTCAGTAGGCTGTTTCTGTGGGTTTGAAGGGGAAGGGCACTCACATCAGCATTGCACGGATGCAGCCAACAAAATCAGGGTGTCTCTTGCCTGCTTGGCTAGCCAGTATTTGATGCTGCATTATTTTTGAGAGGTCATCCAGTTCCAAAAAAATATCTTTTTGTTCTTAATGTTGTTAATTAATAAAAGATTTTTTTTCTGGTTTTGTGGGGAGGAAGAGTTTATTTTTTCAAAGAATGACAAAAGACAATGAGAAGTGGCAACACATGATTTGTGAAAACTACACTGGCTGAGCAAACAAGATAATGGGTTTGAAGCTTCACTGGCGGCAGAAGGACCCATCTTGCCTCTGAGGAGCTGAAGAGAGCTATTTCATGGGAGGTGGCATTACCCTTTCTGCACGGAGGGCAGAGCACTGGTGAGAGCAAGCGCACGCGGTCTGAGGGCCTGCTGCTCGCTCTCTTGCTGCGCTTGGGGGCTTGGAGGGGGAAGCAGAAGCAAAGCTGGGTGCATTGGGGAGACTGGAGCATGAGCCCCTCTCTTTATCTCTCACAGCTGAAATTGCTGTTTAAGTTAAGCTCCATTGTAACATCGCAGTTACATCCATAAAACTAGTTCTGGATGGGCAGCATCAGCGAGAGCAATTGTGGACGGGATCAGGATATGAACATTGTTTTGTAGTAGCATCAGGACTAGAGAAATTAGCTGACATCTATTGCAGTATTTATTCCACAAAACTGCCTTTACTCCTTCCACACTCCGGAAAAGCTCTCCTTGGGTGACAGCAAGAGGGAGAACCATCTGTAAGACAGCATGCCTCCACTTTCAAAGAGCAGCCTACGTACGACATATGTGGTTCAACTACTTTTATGGGCATATGGCACTGGGATGAATTTCATTTACTCAGTTTAATAGGGTGGAGGTTTTTTCCAAGTGCTGGGACTGGAGGATCAAGGTTGTTGACTTTGAAAACACAGCCTTATAATACTCTCGTATAGCTTTGCAATAATACATCCTTTCTGTTTGAAAGTAGCTACGTAAGCGCTTATCTGAGCAAGCAAGATTAGAAAAAAAATTGGAAAGAAATTCACAGTTCGAGTAGGGAAAAGGTCTTACCTCAGTCCTGTTCCCTCACGCTGCCCTTTTATGCATGGAGCAGCAGTTTGTGAAAAGTAGCAAACCTATGAAAAAATGCCACAAGTTTACTTTTTAAAGAAAGGGTAATTGTAAACTCTTCTGAAAATGATATATGCTATTTTGAAAACAGAAATGCATGTGCACTGGCTGCATATTTTAAGAGCAAAGTTGTGTTGTCGACTGAAGTGCTGACATACTCGGAGGCGTTACGGCAGGAATACAGCTGGTCAGTCTGTCGACATGCCAGCCTCTGTGTGCCTCGGCAACTGAAGAACTCTGTCTTGTCCTTGCCTGTTGGAGATCCCTTGTCAAAGGATGTGGAGTAAATGGAGATTGTCTCCATTGCTATCAAAATGTCTCTGTGCTGGGCAGCACTTTTCAGTGAATGACAAGTATGTGAGATGTATGTGTAAAGTACACAGCAACAATTAGCATTGGTCATTCAGAGGAAAGGATGTTAAAAGGACATCCACTTTGGCTGAGGTTTCTGACAGAGCTGAGATGCTTGATTTCATTGAAGGATGAGGTTCCACAAGATAGCAACTTGACTTTAGGGTGGTTCCTCATAGATCAAAACTGTCATGGCTAGGTCATGTAAAGTGCTGAACCCATACCAACTCACTCTGCTGGCTAAAACTTATTATAAACATGTAAAAGGATCATTCCACTGTGGCAGACTTCATGCCAAATGAGGCACTGTTTGTCTGAGCCTTCTAACTTATGGTAGATATCACACAGGGTGGAATATCAGGAAGTATTAGAGTGGACTAAATGTTATTATTTGCTCTAGAAAACCTGCCAAAAATGGTAATTGTGAATCCTCTGCTGAC